TTCTTTGTACAAGGCTCCACATGGCAGATTTATTTTAGAATTTAGCGTCAGACTGTCCTTTATGAAGAGCTGAAGGAAGCCTATTGTGTTTGCCAAAAACCTTGGATGGCCTGGGCCGAGCCACTGGTAGGTTTTATGGTTACACATGTGTTTCTTCCTGTTCTACACCCTGATGTATTTTATGCTTCTATTTTGATAGCCATCTCTGAGGAGATGGGATGGGGTAGATGTATTTATTGTGTGTTTTGTTTTTTGCTTCAGAGAGTCACTGTTTGCTGGGGCCTCCCCAGGGAGGTCTTGAACCTGCAGAGACCTCCCCCCGCTGCTTCCGGAGCACTCCTTGCCCTGGGAGGCCCATTTCCTGGCGGGATCCAGATTTTTCGGTTAAGGCCATCCAGGGAGCAAGACTTGGCCAGTGGCCGCTTCTTTTAGTCACAGGGTTCGTCCTGACTCCTGGCCGGGGCCCAGGGCCGAGTGATGGGTGGGCGGCCCTCAAGTCCCTCCACTGCAGACATGACTTCCTTCTGGGCTCTGAAGTCCTTGCCAGAGCTGCCCCTCTGTGTAGGATCAGCCCTTCCCGAGAGCCCTGGTCCTACAGGTGTGCCGGGAGGGAGAAAAGGAATGCAGGGTTTTCAGCCAGAAAGCCTGGATTAGAATTCCAAAGCTGCTTTCCCCGTTTCTGAACCTTCCACCTGGGAAGTGGGGGTGATCACATGTGCCTCAGAGAGTACGGGAGGGTTGGCGGGCGGGCTCCCACGTGGACACTCGCAGCCACTCAGCACCTGTCACCAGGCTCTTGATTCTTGGTACTTCCCTCCTCAGCCCTCAGGCTGGAGTGCAGCTGCAGAAGCCCCCCAAGCCCCCCTAAAAGCAGATGCCATACAGCTGCAACGAGCCCCTTGCCTCTGCTCAGCCAGCCTTTTATCGCCCTTTGGTGTTTTGTGGCCTCACATCCCACAGCAACTACATTTCTGAATTCCTCTCTATGAGCCTCCAGTTCTTCCTTATCCCTTCACTTTGGGAAAAATAACCTCCCCTTTTCTTCCCGCCTCCCTCTCATGCTCCCGAGCTGCAGGATCCTGCCTCCCCCTCGGCCCTGAGCTGTGCTCTCTGTGGCAGGCGCAGAGAAAGAGGTTCTCTCCGCCTTTCGTGCTGACCCCAGGGCAGGGCCCAGACCCCGCCCCTCCCCCACCGGACTTCCTGTCACACTCCCTTCTCATCACAGTCCATCATCTGCAATGTCTCCCTCCTCCATGAGTCTCACCCTCCCCTGCTAACAATGCGGGGCATCTCTCTGGCCAGCCCCTCTGTGACCGTGCCAGCCCTCTGGTTATACTGTTGTCTCTTCACCGCTGGAATTCCGGAGGAGAGGCATCTCTCCACCTCTCCATGCCCAGCACCTTCCCAGGCTCGGCAGTCTGGTCTCCTCTGTGCTGAGCCTTCTAGAGCGAGCTTCTTGTCCAGGGCAGGGGCCTTCCCCAACCCCCTCTGCCTGACCTTCCTCAGTCCCCACCCTTCTGGGGTTTGGGGGCAGGTCAGTGTTCTGGTTTTCTCCGTGTCTCCTCTAACTCCGGGTAGAGTGGCAAGGGCTCCCCAGGGCACGGTTCTGGATCCCCTTCAATGTTCATGCATTTCTCCTGGATGGGTCACCTGTCCTGTGGCTCCCTCTGGCATCACCCATTCTCCAGACCTGTATCCGCAGCCTCTCCTGGGCTTTAGGGATTGATGGGGATAGTAACAGTGCCTGCTGCATTGCACGGTGGGTTAAACGAGTAACACTGTAAAACTGCCCAAGACTTGCTTTAGTAAGTGCAGCGCAGGGGTCCGTTCTTGCCACCTCTGTGTGAGCCTTTTGTGACCACTCCCTGTCTGCCTCCCCACCTGATCTCTTAACCTGTCCCCTTACTCTACGTGTGACAGTTCATTCCGGTCAGCTCTTCCAGCGCCCCCCTCCTCTGTGTTACCTCTGCCCTTTCCCATTGGTGGTCCCCAGTTTGGAAAGCTGCCGCTCCTCTCCTTCCCTTTCTCTACCCTGCCTGATGCCGACCTCTCAGTTAGGTCCCAGCCTAGGCACCCTTTCCCTGGAGAATTTCTAAGTCTGGGCTGTGACCCCTGCTGTGCACCCCCCCCAGCACACTGCCCTTCCCCATTGCCATAACACAGACCAGGCCTTGCCGTTTGGCCCCCACGAAGCTGTGCGTAGGGCGAGTATTCTGTTGGTCTTTTCATCACAGTGTCCTAGGGCTGGTATTACAGTCTGAACAAACAGTCAAACCCACCTCACCCTTCCGGACCACCCCAGCACCAGCACGCAAGCCTCTGTGTGCACCAACACCCTCAACTCTTGCCTCGACGGCGTGGGTCTTTCATGGGGACGCTCCTAAAGGTGTGGAGAACCTGAGGATGGAGGCAGGGGCCTAGGGCTTCCTCAGAAGGGGGGACACCCAGCACCCCAAAAGGTGGGGATTTGCCAAAATGGGCTTTCACTGTGCCATAGGCCAGCTCCAAGGGCCCTCATAGGCATCTTGTTAAGATTGTTGTTTAGAAATGAGGAGTCTGCCTCCTGGAGGTGAGACGACCAAGGTCACACACACGTGGACGTAGAGCCAGGAAGGGAAGCTGGGCCACCACTGCCCGTCTGTGTACTTACTTCCCGTCTCAGTGCGCGTTCACCTGTGCCCTCAGTGAGTCCTGGCCTGTGCCCGGGGCCTGAACAGAACACTTTCTCCCGGAGGCACGTCATGCTCCCGTGGCCCAGCCGTGCTGGCGCCTTCCACATGTGGTATCATCAGCTCGGTCACAGCCACGCTCCGAGAGGGGCTGTGAGCCTGCATTCGTTACCCATGGACTTTGTGCCGTGGAGCAGTTACAAGAATCCCCCAGCACCTTCGCCGCCACGTGTGATTCTGAGGGCTCTGGGGCCGGAGCAGCAGGGACAGCCGCAGGCGGAGGTGTTCGTGCTCTGCCCACTGACCCTTTGCATGGCCGGCATTTTTTCCCTGCAGTACACAAGCCTGAAGGACACTGGCTGCCTCCTTGTCTCGGGTTTTGTGTGGCAGCTGTGTGTGAACCCTAGGTCCCTGAAGCCTTCCCACTGAGTTGGTCATGAGAGAGCAGGTGGCACCACGGGCAGTGAGCGGCAGGTCCGGCCTGGTCTCGGTTCTGTTTCCTCCCATTGTGTGCGTGACTGCCCGGGCCACAGCGTCCTCTGCTGTGCAGTTCCAAATGCACAGGCCCCAGAAGCCTGCCAGGCAGAAATGCAACAATGTGAACATTATTATATGACTTTTTGGATCACATGGGTACCCCCTCACTTGTGGGGGGAGCCCCAGCCTGCCCCGCTGTGGTGTCTGAAGCCTCCAGGTCCTGCCCATCTCCAGTCTCATCCCTGCCACCCACTCTGGCCCAGCCACACGCCGCCTGGCTTGCCTGAGCCGTGGCCGGGTCAGGGATAGATGGAAGCACATGCCAGCCTGGACCAGTGTGGCGGTGTCTCCTCTTGCTATTTGGGGGCCCCCCAGGCCTTGTCCTCCAGGTGGGGACAGGGTGAGCTTATCTTTCACTCCTAGGGACCCTGAGCAGGTGGTGAAAGCCCAAGTCGAGGCCAGACTGTTATAAATGCTCCCCAGACACCAGGGACTCCTGTGTGGACAGTCTTACCGCAGCTGGACCCGAACCTTGAGAAACGAGGGACAGTTTTATCTTCCTGGCTCACATCTTAGTTCTCCTGGCTCCTCCGAACAGTCCTGGGGACAGGGTCTGGGGCCTTTGCCTCTGATGCGCATTTCCTTGTGGCTGAAAGCCCACTGGGGATGGGGCGCAGCGATGCTCCATTTTCAGGCAGGCGACTGGATTTCTTTTCAAACGCTGCTCAGTGGGGCTCATTTCTTATTAGTACAGGAGAGATCCTCAGTAATGGTGAGCCCGTGCCAGGTCACTGGGAGCTGCCCAGAGTTCTTGCCAGCTTCTGTTTCTGGCATAAGAAGGGAGAGATCTAGCAGTATTTGAGACATGCTAGCTATGGAAGCCTTTCTGAAGTTGGAACTTGTAGTGCAGCGGTCACGGGCGCAGGGGAATGCGAGCTGTGCCTGCTGCTAGTTGCATAGATTTCAGACAAGCTGGGCGACCGACTTGCCTGTGTTCGCCAAGCACTTGCCCAGCTTTTGCATTGAAGGTCCTGGCCAAGTTGGGAGGTTCATCACCGTGCAACCTGACTGGCTTCTCCAAGCTCGAGTGTCCCCTGGCAGAGACAGTGTGGCCTACTTCTCGGGGTTTAGTGCGTGTGGAGTGTGAAGCAGGTGTACCAGTTTTTAGAGCTGCTGTAACAAAGCACCAGTGGCCCAGAACGATGGGAGAGCATTGTCTCAGTTCTGGAGGTAAGGTCTGAAGTCGAAATGCCGGTAGGCCGTCCTCCCTCTGGACCTGCAGGGGAGGCCTCGCTTGCTTCTTCCTCGCTCCTGGCAGTTGCCGGGCCGTGTCTGGTGTGCCTTGACTTGTAGCTGCCTCGCTGCCATCCTCCGTCTTCACGTGGTGTTCTGCCTGCGTCTGGGTCTTCACACAGCCGCCGTCTTCCCTCTGCGCTCATCCGTCTGTGCGTCTGCATCTCCCCTCTTTACAAGGACACCAGTCATGCTGCATCAGGGCCCGCCTCATTTTTACTTGACCACCTCTGTAAAGACCCTGTTCCAGAGAAGGTCACATCTGAGGCACTGGTTGGGGTGCGGTTAGGACTTTAATATGTCTTTTGGGGGACACAGTTCTATGCAGCAGAGTTAGCCATGACTGTTATTGTCATTTGTATGACATTTCCGAGTCATTTCTCAGTCTTTGCCATCACTGAGAAACCAAGAATACCTAAGAAACAGCTCCTCCAAGAAGAGAAATGGCAGGAGGCCCAGTCACGAGCAGGAGCTGGCCTGGTTGTTTAAATTCCATATCTGGAGTCACTGCAGCACAAAGGGTCCCTCTCTGACCCCCGGTTTTTGCTCTCTTTGGTGTAGATGGAGCAGATGAGGAATGAGCTACTTCAGGAAAGAGCTGTGAGGCAAGACCTGGAGTGTGACAAGATTTCCCTGGAGAGACAGGTGAGGACAGCTGGCCCCGCCAGGCTTGGACTGGAACCCCCCGTGGCACCTGCTTTGTGCAGCACCCCAAACTCTGGGCTGTACCTCGCCCGAGAGAGGTATTTCTGAGACCATTTCTGGAGAGGGTTTTCTCAGTAATATTAGATATGCTTGAAAGTTTCCAGCTGCGGGGAGGAGGAGGTGGAATTGCAAGTGTTTATTAGGTCCCCAAAAGGGCTCAATTCTAATCTAGGAGAATGATGAAGAACAGTGCTGTCAAACACGGAAGTTGCTAACAGAGCTTGCCTACCAGACTCATCATTTCTTTCACATGCCATTCACTGAATATGACATGCGGTGAAGGAGCCCACTTCTCCGACCAGTAGGTTTACGAACGGCCAAGGTCACTTGTCTGACATCCAGGCGTCCTAGGCCATGGCAGAGATTTCACTCAGGCTCGTCAGGGAGTGTGACAGAATCTCTTCTTTTGGGCTGTCAGGACAGAGGTGCTTCTCTGGGTCCCCCTGGGTCACCCTGGATCCTGGTGGGAAAAACAGGCTTAGCAAAGTCACTGACCATCCTCGGCTCCACCTGTGGTCCACTCTGCAGACAGAGTGGTGGACACACAGCCCTCACAGTCTCCCCGTCTGATTCCAGAACAAGGACTTAAAGAGCCGGATCATCCACCTGGAAGGTTCCTATCGGTCTAGCAAGGAGGGGCTGGTGGTGCAGCTGGAGAGCAGGATCGCAGAGCTGGAGGACCGTCTGGAGAGCGAGGAGAGGTGAGCACGGTGCGGCTGCGGTGCGGAGGCCTGGCGGGCAGGGACCGCCACGTCACAGAGTGTGTATCTCTTCCCGGCCTCAGAAGCCTTCCCGTCAGGAAGGCAGAGCACATACAGCCTTGCGGTTATTATTTCCACCCGACAGGTGAGAAAACCGAGGCCCATCCGAGTACTTGAGGAAGGTAGCCCGGCTGCGTATGGGTGGAGCTGGACGAAAACGTAGGCCTCCTGCTCTCAGTCCGCAGCTTCTTCACTGTCCTTGCTGCTTCTTTCCCTGTCCCCTCAGTAGGATGGGCTGCCTCCTAAGTGACAAGTTTGAGCCAGATTAGATGGGAGGGGGCTGACTCTGCCTTGAGGGCAAAGTGTATCCACTCTGTGTGGCAGAGGCCAAGGGACCAAGAGGCAGGGGCCCCACAGTGGGTGGGAGGGCCGTGGGACCAGGTGACCACACACCTTTCTGGCAGCACGACTCTGCAGCTAGCTTTCAAATTGCAGCCTGAGGACTGGCACCAGGTTGAACTTGACCAGCCTCACTTCGTACTTGTGACTCCTCTCCTTTTAGGAGGGGTATGGGTGTGCATACGTGTGGGTATGACATTTCACATGATCTGTTATCAGTGGGACTCTTGGGGGCTGGGCTGGAGCAGCCCAGCATCGCTGCCTGGCAGGGACTTTCTGTCTTACAAGTAGATCTCAGGACAGGAAGAACTCAGGACATGTCTAGTCCTACCTCAGCCTCTCTGGCTCTGAAACCTTGGGCAAGTCACTCACTCCCCTTCTTAGAGCCCCTATTTCCTCATCGGTCCGATGACCAGCCCTTTCCTCCTATAGTCACGTGTCTCTCTGACCCTCGGCCTTGGGTGGCCTGGCTGGGGTTTGCCCTCCTCCAAGGCCTGGGCCAGGCCTCCTGTGGGGCTGGGATCAGAGAGCCTTCAGTTCTGCTTTCCCCGCCCCTCCAGGGACCGGGCCAGCCTCCAGCTCAGCAACCGACGCCTGGAGCGGAAGGTGAAGGAGCTAGTGATGCAGGTGGATGATGAGCACCTGTCGCTGACTGATCAGAAGGACCAGGTGGGGGACCCTCTGCAGATTCATTTCCAATGAGACCGTATCTCTGAGGCTGGGAGACAAGAGGGAGGTGAGGCCTCTGTGTGGGTGTTGGAATCGTGGACTGATCCCTGTCTTTCACTCCACTCAGTTACATCACAGAATGGAGCCTCTCTAGGCGTCTTTAGTGAGGATTTTAGCAAACTTCAAACCCTGAACTTGACTTGTAAAAAGCAGACTCGTCTGCCACAGAGGCTTGTCTCCACTTTCCCATGAAACTGGCTGCCTGCCTTTGCATGTCTTGGTGGCCTGGGAAGAAGGTGGCTTGACCGATAGCTTATCCATACTGGAGCTCCTCTCCATCGCAGCTGGGCTGGTGACCAGCGCTAACCCTCTCTCTCCCCCAATGCAGCTGAGCCTGCGCTTGAAAGCAATGAAGCGACAGGTAGAGGAGGCCGAGGAGGAGATCGACAGACTAGAAAGCTCTAAAAAGAAGCTGCAGAGGGAGCTGGAGGAGCAGATGGATGTGAACGAGCAGCTGCAGGGACAGCTCACTTCCATGAAGAAGAACTTAAGGTGGGCAAGCACCGTGACCCTGTGGGTGCTGTCCCCACGACATTCGAGGAGAAATCAGTGCTTTTAGGGCGCCCTCACTTCTCCTTCAAGCCAGTGTCTTGTTGTTGAGGAAGTCGCCTGGCTACCCATTCTAGAGATGAGAACCGCTCACCCCATGTTCAGTCACCCCAGGTGCTCATAGGGTCTCATATGTGTCATCCTCGTACCAATGCCCTGACATCAGCCAGCAGATATCCCTGTTGTCTATAAGGGGAAACTGAGACTCAGAGCAGGTAACACTAGCTCCTACCACCATGGAGGGGGCAGCTCCTCTCTCAGCCCTTACCATGTCTACTCCTTGACATCAGGAGAAGTAAAATACATTTCTGGTCTGTATCGTCATGAGGACTAGGATATCCTGGGTTTCAGGAGAGAATCGCCATGGTCTTAAGGGGGTCTGGTGGGGGTGCTGCTCTTCCTGCCCCAGGTCGCTGCCTTGGGCATTGGGGTGAGGGAGTGGATTGGGCTCGAGCTCCTCCGTGGAGTTGAGCCTTTCTTGGAGGCTGACTGTGCTGGTAGTTCTCTTATAAATGGACAAAAGACTCCAGCCCTTGAGGATTTTATAAACAGGGCCCATCCTTTGAGAACCTAGCCCCAGGGATGACATTAGGGTACAACATTTAAGGCGGCACCAAAAATCTCAGCAATCAAGGTAAATGATATTAAGTGCAATGTTTAAAAAAGTTAGTCCCCATTGGATATCAAAAATTTCAATTAAGATGGGATCAAAAATAGCACCCTGGTGAGCCATATTGGAGGTTGAAGCTCAGTGAAAAGTGAGCACTGCTGACCTTGTCCCAGCCTGCCAGTGCCGGCTTGTGCGCTGAGAGGTGGGCATTTCCTCTCTGTGGCTCAAAGAGCTGGCGGGTGCAGACCTGTTAGGTTCACATGCTTCCCTGACACTCGGTGGGGTGGAGAGGCAGAAACCCGAGACCCTTCCTTCACCTCCAGATCCTAGAGGTGCCCCGGTCCGGGGCCAGCAATCACGACCGTGTTGTTTCAGCAGGCAGAAGAAGCTGCCCAGTAAAGTGCTGGACGAACTGGACGATGATGACGACCTCAGCACCGACGGGGGGAGCCTCTACGAGGCGCCGCTGAGCTACACCTTCCCCAGGGATGCCACCAGCCAGATCTGAGGCCACCTCCGGCGCCGTGGAGGTGGCCCATCATTCCTCCCAGGGACCGTCGGCCTCCCACAGCAGGAGGCAGGAAAAACAGCGCCTGTCTACAGCTGAGACCCATCACTGCCTCTTCACATAACCAGCCGACTGATTCCTCCACCTCCATTCCTCCTCGGATCTCGGAATGGCAGTGTGGCCCTCCTATCTTAGACAGGGAGCTGCTGCCGTGTAAATGCTGAGACGCCTGAGGCCTAGCAGCGGCCACCCATTGGGGTGTTTGGGAAAACGTGGTTTAGCAGGCTGAAGTCCTCTCTGCACAGCTGTCTGCCAGGCCGTTTGCATTGCTGCTCCTGCCTGTCTGCCATCCCCCCGCCAGGAGGAAGGGTCCAAAATGCTAGTTCTATTTACTAGCCACTGTGTGTGGTGGGAAATGATGTATGGGCTGTGTATATTTTAAAGCAGACCTTCTCCCGACTGCTGCTGTTCCATGTGGAATGCTACAGAGGCCTCCTGGGGTGGCGTGTTTGTCAAGGTCACACCTCTACATTGAGTATTATTTTTTTAATATGAAGCTACTAGATTTTAAGTATTTAGGAGCAGAGGCAAGGCAGAGAAGGTAGAATAAAGACCACTTTGGACATCAGAGTTGGAAAAAGGGGTTGTCGAGGTAACAAGGGACAGTTAACCCTGAGAAGAGAAATGCAGGTGGTCTTGGTGAACAACTTGCTGACGGAAGGAGAGAGAAGCAGAGTGTTGCTTATATCTGTGGCCTCAGTTGTTAATTTCATCTAGAACATTGTCATGATTTCTGAACCATGCCGAGCAAGACAATTCCCAATCACCAGCTGCCATTTCTTTTACACGGGGGGTTGGGAGACTTAGAAGTAAGGTTTTTGACAAATGGTGCGGCCCTCCTGTCACTTCTTATTGGTACTTTCCTCCCTCCTCCTCCAACAGGTCTCCCCTCCTTGGGCTCTCCTGGTCCTTGAACCGGGTAACTGCTGGGTGGGGGTGGAATAGGAGGATATGGGGACAAGTCCCATGGACTTAGGGGTGAGGAAGAAGCAGGCAGTGTCCAGTAAGTTCCTGGAGAAAAGGAGAAGAGATAAGCAGGTGTGTGTGGGTTTGGGTGGGAAGGAAGAGAAGGAAGAATTTCTTGAAAGCTGAGGAGATGTGCAGACAGGAGGTAGATCGAGCGGGATCTCAGGTTTATGTCGGGAAAGGGAGGAAGGCAACAGGAATCAGACAGAGGTGCATCTGTGCAAACAGGACAGGGAGGCTCGCAACAACTGCCTGGGACCCAGGGACATCAGCCAGCACCAGGCACGAGGCGACTGGGAGTGGCGAGGTCTGGGCGAGGCCACGCTGCAGGGACAGAATCACAGAGAGTGTGGCATTGGGAGAATGCCGGGTATACCAGCACTCCCTCCTGGCCTTCCTGCTGTCTCCTCCCTCTGTGACAGTCCCCAGGTATATCCAGAGGCCAGGTCCAATCACAGCTGGGCTCTCATAGGTCAGGGCCCAGGAGAGAACCCTGTGAGTTGTGCGTTTGTATGGGGCAGAGGAGACAACGTTAATCTGCTTCAGCAGTGTACCCAAGCTCCCCAGTAGATGAGAGCCCCTTGGACCTGAGAACTTCATGACAGTTGTCATGGGGGAGCAGGGAATCTCTGCGCCCTACCTACCCCACATCACTGAACCCACAAAACGATTCAGAGCGATTAGCCTGGTTTAAGGGCAGGTGTGATTCCCCCCACAGGTGAGGCCTCTGGAGCAGGGAGCCAAGCCCTCTTCCACCTCTGAGTAGGGGTATGGACAGATTCCTCCCTTCAGCCATTCATTCATTTAGCAAATCTATATTGAGCATCTATGATGTGCCAGACATCGTCTGAGGCACTGGGAATGTAATGTGAGTAAAAGGAATCAAAATCGCACCAGTCCTGGCATGTAGGCAGGGGAAAGGGAATGATAGACAACAGTCGTGCAAACGGACACAGGCTGAGTCCCCATCCAGCCCTGGACCCCCCTGCCCACTGGGGGCTGCAACAAACAAGCCTGCAGTTGGTCGACCAGCTCACTGGAACTCCCACCACGACCCTCACTGTGGTCATGCTTTCCCTGCTGCTCCCACTATGGTTAGATGTTTGCTGAGAAGCCTGCCTAGTGACGCCTCAGCCCGCTCACGACTGAGGCTGGGAGATGAGAAGGCTCTGAGGCCCGAGAGCTTTGGGAGTGAGTGAGTGTCTGTCTTGGTTTGTAAGAAAGCCCCAGCCCCTTGTTTTGGCCTGTTCCGCCTGGTACCCATGGGCTGGCTGCGAGGAGCAAAGATGCCCATGGAAAGAACAGATCACCAGTCAGAAGCCTGGCATCCTTACCCTAAATAATGGGCCATTTTAAATGTTAAGTGTGCTATTCTTCACAGTATTGGAGTTGACAGTGAGCTGGATGCACGCAGTGTAGCTTTGGGCTGGGAAGAGTACTGGATTGGGCATCGAAGGAAGTGTTTTCAAGTCCAGGTTTTTCTTATCCCAGTGACCTTGATGGGGTATGTGCCCTCAGAGCCACAGAGCGCCCAGAATAAACAAGGGCCAGGGCCCAAGGTTCTTTCCAGCTCTGACATTCTTTCTGACATTCTTTGATTTTATTATATATACTTTTTTTGGTTTATTGCTTTAAGAACTAACCCCACTGAAGAATATTTTCTTTAGCTAGCTTAAAAAAGAAAAGATATTTTATTTAATAAACAAATATGTGGCCAAATGCAATGCTGAGGAGACAATCATCATCTATCTTTATAATTTTCTTTCTTCTTCTGGGAGTCATTTGACAGCACCAGGAGGCGTGTTCTGTCGGGTGTCTGCGTTCGGTCTGGTTGGATTGCTTTGGTTTGTCATGGGGAAGAGACGTTTCTGTGTAGCTACCTCCATGTAAGCGAACTGGATCGAGCAAGATTGCCTTTCAATAAACGGTGTCACCCGACAGGAATCTCAACTCTCCCATTATTCTGACTTCCTTGTTTTCTCCAGAGCTTAGCTCCGTGTCTGCCAAAAAACAGCCAAAGTGAATGGCTGGAAGCTCCTCAAGGAAGTGAAATCTGGTGGCAGTCCAGGCCCGAGACCAGTTTCTGAACCAGAAGGGTAGGGAGGGGTCAGTGGTGAACACGGGAACAAACAGGCAGCCTCTGATTATTCCTCGTTCCTAAACCAGAACGGGCTCCCTTATCGTCATGTAATCTCTCTTTATTGACAGTAGGTACCATGGTCTTCATTTTAGAGGAAATGGAAGTTCTCCACAGAAAGAACCTTGCATGAGCCAATGGGAGCAGGAGGAGGTGGGGCCTTTCTCAGCTGTCACTCCTGCTCCCTGCAGTGTCTTAAGCCATGGCTCCCTGGTGCTGCAGCTTCCATGGACTTGGGTGACCATACCTCTTCCTCCTGCCTCCAGGTCTCAAGGTGGGCGTGGCTTCCTGCTGCTGCTCCTCTGGGTCCCTCGGCCGACCTGGTGGGTTCTCACAGCTCTGCCTGCCCTGCAGGGCAGCTCTTCCTTCGTTACCTGGGCCACCACAGGCCTCAGCCAGAGCTCTGCCCATCTCACCCTTGATGCTCCCAGTCGTGTGAGCATCCTCACACCCCACAATCCTGCAGCCCTTGACTTTCCTTATTGTGACCAGAGCATCTCAAGTAGAAAAGATTTCCTAATTGTAATAAGTCCTCCAAGCCTGTGCATAAATTGTTTTCTTTTCTTAGAAGTCAGGTTTATTGAGGTATCATTTTATCCTGTGTAGTAAAAGGTGCCCTTTTTGGTATTATTTACTTTTGTAGCTGTATTTAGTCCTCTTTCCTTGGCCCCTCTGCCAGGGTCCTTGTGGGGAGGAGTCCCGAGAGGTCACCTCTTCCTCAGGCCTGTGGGAGGAATGTCACCCAGGAGCCCAGAATCAAAGGGAGAACCTCCTTCCGGGCCCGCAGCTCCTTCCTCCACATGTTTGGCATTCTTTCTTTGAACTTGAGGATAGTTACAGTGATCCTGTCTTTGTTGAAGACAGTCATTAGCCAGAAAGTTTGGTGTTCTAAGTTTTCAAACGATAGGGAAAAATGACTCACCAGCAAGCTCCTATCGGGGCTTAACAGCCCCACACCCAGAAATTCCTGGCTTTGCAGAGGCATCAGCAACAACTCAGTCCTGCCCTCAGACCTGCTGAGTACCCGGCACTGACAGTCATGGCAGACATTCCCGTGCTTGACTCAGCCTGTCTTCAGCAGCAAGGCAAGATTCCAGTGTGTGCCCCATGCTGGCTTTATGAAGGCAGGAAAATGCTCAGTGCAGTTTCAAAGCCCCTTCTACAACCGTGCCTATTCTGTGGGGGCACATTTATTTGCAAGTTTCCCAGGGTGCGGAATCTCACTTGGTCTCGAAACAGATTGTCAACAACTCCTTCGTGACACCAGAGGTTTTCTAGGGGAAACAGAACTAAACAGTTTTATGAGAAAGGCAGGAACTGACAGGTAGGGAATCCGAGGCTTGGGGAAGTCGGATATTTTGCTGGAGGTCACACCAGGAGCAACAGCTCATAGACAGACCTGCCAACTGCGGGCCAGGTGCCGTGGGAGACAGAAGGATGAGAACATGGTCTATGACCTTCGGAAGCTTCCAGTGTAATTTTAAGAATGGAGATTACTGAGCTAAATGGAAATGAGATATAAATACTAAGTCCTTCATATACTTACGGCTCACCAAATTCGTCTATCCTTGTGCTGGGCTAGCTCGTACTACGTATAGTCAGTACCGAGTTTTCTCTGAGACTATATACATGTGAGCAGTAGGTCACACATGTCGCAGTTACCTGCTGTGTGTCAGGCATTGTGCTACACCCTTCACATGTATGGACTCACATGGTCTTCACAAGAACCCCCTGAGCAGGTACTGCGGTGACAAGTGGGCTGCCCGAGCTGAGGGGTTACTGCCCTGCCTGAGGGCATGTGGCCAGAGGTGGGAGAGCCAGGATGGGCGTCTGGGTCTGGGTCTGGGGTCCACACTCGGGACCAGGAAGCTCTGCCACCTCTCACCCATGCTCAGTGCCTGGGAGCACAAAGGTCTCGTCAGATCTCATTGTATTAGGGACTCCTGGGGCCTCTTGATCCTTCTCCTTTCAGATCCCCCCTTTGGCCGCAGGGTGCCAGCCCACTGACAGCCTGCCTCCACTCTGAGCTCTGCATGCAAAGGCAGATGGGAATCAAAGTTCACCTGCGAAGCCACACACCTGCTGGACGTGTCTGTCACCAGTTTTTAGCTGCACTTATAACCTGGCTGTCTGTGGTGCTATCGGCTGCCGGTGACCTCAGAGCTCTCATTTTGCCTTCGATGCTCCTCTGGGGCCGTGCCAGCCTGACGTGTCGGGGCCTGAGCCGAGTGTGCCCTGGGGGTCATCGGGCTTCCCCCGGTCTCACTGCGGAAGGTGGCCTTTGGGCAACAGCAGCAGGTCCCTGAGTTGGGTGGGACCTTCACCTTTCCAATCCCCAGACTGCTTTGTGATGAGAACCTTCTGGAACAGTATATGAGAATAATAATCTTTACTGTGTAGTTAATACACCTTTCATATTAGTCTTACATTTAAAATTGTACTTGCAACCTGAAATGAGCAGGTTGTTCTCATGGAATCTGTTGGCTGAGGTCACAAATAACACCCCTCGCCCCAGAGCAGCTCAGAATATTGGGTGGTGGAGCTGGAGGCTAAGAACCCTGGGTTTGGCAGCAGAGTCTGCTAAGCTGGAGGAGTGGTCCCAGTGGAAGTGGGCTCTGGATCCCTGCTGGTGAGCAGGGTCCCTGTGTACAGGAAGGGAGAAAGTCTCCGGGACACAGCCAGCTCTAGGACTCAGAGACCTGTGCAGAAGCTCATCTTGAAGGAAAGGGGCCCCTCTGCTTCAGCTGGTCCCAGAAGGAGTGGGGCTCCTGCTGTGGAAGCTGACCTTCTGGCCTCCTTGACTTGGCGTGTGAGCTGGGGGTGGGGAATGTGCGTACAGGCTGGGGTGGCGATAGGCAGGCACCTGCCTCCCCGTTCACCCAACATAGGGGGCATCCCTTCCAAACCCCACCCAGGGGCCCTACAAAGAGAAACCAATGTTGCCCTGTGGATGAACCCACTGGTCTTTGGGGGCAATGGGAATGATTCTTTTTTTTTTTTTAAACATCAATGTGTGGCAAACACATTTGCCTCTTGTGCACCTCCCACTGGGCACCTGGCCCGCAACCCAGGCATATACCCTAGACTGAGAATTGAACTGGTGACCCTTTGGTTTGCAGGCCGGCACTCAATCCACTGAACCACACCAGCCAGGGCTGATTCTTTTTGAATATTTAAAACCCCTTACCAGGGTAGAAACTGCAACTGGGCAAAGTCCTGTGGATGAGGAATTCTTATACTCTGTCTGATTTCATCCGCGCCCTGTGCGGTAGGTGCTGGTGGGCAACATATGCACAGAGACCGATGACGTGTCCACAGTCAACAGTTAATGAAGAGTGTGGCTGGTATAAAAGCCTGGTCTGCTGCTCTTACCCCAAGATTCCCTGTACCTTGGCCATCCTCCCTCGCTGCCCCTCCGAAAATTCACTGCTGACCTCCCCACCTGAGGACGTTGGGCACAGAAGCTGAGTGGTTGGTCTGAGGTCACAGCCCCCAGCCTCGAGATCAAAAGTCTGCTTTTGGAGTGTGAAGCCTGCACAGTAGCAAGGCAGACAGCCTGCCTGCTCCTGCCTGCAGGCCCGCTCCTGACAGTCTGTCTAACCTCACTCCAACCTCCTCTGGCCCTTCTGGTCCTTCCAAGACAGGTTTGCTTTCCAGGAAAGGACTTGGAGATTAAGATAAAGCAGGTATCTCTGCGTAAATGCCCTCCTGCCTTTGAAAGCCCCGACCTGCTAAGCCTGTCAGTCTAGCCCCTTGGTTTACTTGGTTTCACCCCTGGGCTGGGGCTGCCCGGCCTTTCATCGGGTGCCAGTGGTCCCTGGTCTATCTCTGGGCATGAATATGGGGACTCTTTGGAGATAGGCACAGGGTTCCCTGCAGAGCTGGGTAAGGGAAATGAGATCTGACAAAGGCAGCGACAGACTCCTCCTGGGGCTCCTGGCTGCTCCAAAAGGAGACAGTCCCTGTCTCTGTCCACTCTCCTGGGAGACTGCTCCCGGCATTTAGATAACGGAGAACTAGAAAACAAAGCTGGCCCCCACTCAGCCTGCCTGCAGCCCCTGGTCTGGCTTGCTCTAGTCCAACGCTGGCCCTCCCGTGTAGTATTTATTCTGATCCATACATGGCTTCCTAAAACTGCTTCATTTTTTGAAATGAATAACTGAGTCTATTACCTCCTCCCCTTCAAGGCAACTGAAAGAATTTTGTCTGTGTGATTCATTGTTGCTGGATTCTAAAAGCAGGTACAAACATGCTTGTGGGCTCACTCAGATCACGTGGCCTTCCCAGGCCCGGTGGAAAGGTGAGGTGAGCCCGGGATGAGTGGGTTAGCCAACTGCTGCAATGGTCAGAGGTGCGGGCAGGAAGCACCGCACTCCCCTGGCTGACCCGCACACTGCGGGTGGGCTCTCTGAGGACTCTCGCTGTGTCCAGATTTGACTTTCCAGATGTTAAGAAGCCAGCTGTAGAGTTAGTCTGTACTTTGCTACTCACATCAGCAACAAAGGCAATAGGGAACACTTTCTTGGCTGGTGTGACTCAGTGGATTGAGCACCAGCCTGCAAAACAAAGGGTCGCTGGTTCAATTCTCAGTCAGGGCACATGTCCGGGTTGGGGGCTAGACCCCCGGTTGGGGGCCAGGTCCCTGGCTCGGGGTGATGGTGTGCAAGAGGCATCAGTCAGTGTATCTCTCACACACCAACATTTCTCTCCCTTCTTCCTCCCTTCCCATCTCTCTAAAAAGAAACAAATAAAATCTTAAAAAAAAAGACGAGAGGGAGCACCACTTGTCTGGTCTCTGGGTCAGTGA